ATTGCCAGATTTGGTACATACGAATTGGACAGGTGGATCAAAACTGCAAAAAAAAAAAAAGAACAAACAAATAATTCGCCAAGTAGGTCAGGATCGCCTACTCCACCATTTCTGTTGAGTTCATAAGAAAGAAGTACTAACAAGAAATAAAAAAAAAAAAATATTTGAATTAACAAATAAACAATAACGTTTGGACCGTTGGATACAAACGACACCTAACTGGAAAGTTGTGGTAATGAAATCGCCTGAAGTTTTTCAGATTGGTACATTTTTATGGTCACTGTTCTGTTCCTATGGATTATAGTAAGTATGTTAAAAGGCCCCAACGATAATAAACGGACTATCTGGTGCAAAAACATTGTTTTTAAACCAGGTGGGAAGTTCTTGAAATTAGCGTCAAAACAAATACTTAAGCTTCACATATTAGAATAGATCACATAGTATTTTTGGAATGGCTAATCGACAATTATTAAATGGTTGACATCAAGTAAACTATAAACATACCGTGAGAATCCTGTATTGCAGTATTAAAGCATTGCGGAATCCTCATACCATAACCAGTTTCGAAACTCAGGACGACGATGTGTCCTATTGCCAGGACACTAAGCCTGTTCCAGCTCAGAAGAGCTTGGGTAACGTTCTTAGTTTTCGGTCGAAAGTTTATGTGAAAACGTTTATGTGTCTCAACGTGCCTGAATGTTTTTGAAAATAATGGCAATTTCTTTTTCAACTATACCTCGTCAAAATAAATTGTCCGTTATTTTTTAAATAGGCTTCTTCTGTTATTAGTCGATTATGAGTATGGTACAGGATATCAGTGAAGTTGTCGAAATCATATTGTAAGACATTTGGGCATGGAAATAGCTAACACATGAGGCGTTTGTTTTTGTCATAGCTTTTATTATTCATTGCTGAATAATTGTAAATTAATTGCTTATTCCAGAGGAGGCGACCCTATGACACGCATCTGACAGACGCAAACCTATTTTGAGTAACTAAAAGTAACTAAAATAAACATTTAATTTCTTAATTTTCGTTATTCAACAGCTCTTAATCTTTATTAACTCAATATATGTATATAAATTATATAGGGCAATGTAAACTTTTATATGTTGGCTTATTTAATGATTAAGAGCTTTTTGATAACGAAAATTTACATTTTCTGCATAATATCGAAATTTAAAGTTATAATTGCTCGAGCGTTTGTAGATAGTAAAATGTATATTCTTAAATATAATTTAATGCTAAATAACTTTCTTTCCCGTGAGTGTTTTGTAAAATGAAAAGAAAAAGAGTTAGCGAGGCAAAAACAATTTTTTTTTTCGAAGTTTGTGAATTAAGAGGAAGTTAAAGAACATAGCGAACAAAGCGAGTATAACTATTTCCGTTGAAAATTTTATCAGCTTTAATTTTACATAAAACATTATTATCACTAGAACCCTTAGTTTCGCTGCTATAAGCGAAAAACTAAAAAAAGCGAACTTTTTGAACTAAATTAAAATTTTAAATTCAAATTTTCGACTTGCAATCCACGGGTAATGGTATACCTGACTATTACTTCATGTCTTAAAACAGTAAATTAAAATGATTCGTAGCTTTTTATATCTGTAGGTCCTCCCTGTATTTCTGCCTACATAGGTTCTCTATCAATCTTCACGTGACCGCCATTTTGTATTCCAGTGGCTATATGCTGACAGACTTTCGTTTTTCTCATCAGGCATTCGGAAATGGTCAATTTATAAGAAAAAAACCTTTGCATGAAATAAGACATCTGTTTTGCGACGGCTAAATAAATTATTCCTTGTTATCAAGCTTAAGAAAATTTTTAATAAAGCATTTGTGTGGCTTTATACCAAAGACGGACATCTGTCATTTTCAGAAAATGGAAAAAGGTCAATTTTGTTGGAAAACTGTTTTTGTTGACTATATCTAAGAACGTTCAAGTTGAATCATGAAAAAAAAAATAAGAAGAATTGGTTAAAATTGAAGAAATGTTTCAGAAATTTGGCCTTTTTTACAACTTTTTAAAAATGGCATTTGTCGGTATTTTATATAAGGCTACCCCATATTAACAACGTTACGTTTGATTTTAGAGATCAGAAATTATTCGGATAAGAATATTTCGAATTTTATCGAATCCTGAGATGATGTTTTCAATAAATTTAGCAATTATTATTCTCCATAAACTATTTCGGCCAAAGGAAGTATCCTGAGGAGGGAAGGGAGGTGAAAAAAAGAGAAGAAAACTGGAAAAAAAATTAAAATAGCAATAAATTACTGAAAGAAATTATTGACAGCGACCGGTAGGTTATTATTGCTTCTAAATTCCATGCCAAATCATCCACAAAAAAATTCAATTTGTAATCCACTTCCTTCAGATCTTAATGAAAAATTGTAAATATACATATAAGTAAAAATACCAAATTTTAGCCAATTCTAATAATTAGTTTCAGAATTATGGCTTTTTAAACATTTGAAGTTAGGAAGACATTTTGGGCTCAAAACCAACTTGTACCTGTTTTATTTTTGCATTCGGTAGAGAATTTTATGATATTTTCATTAGTAAATCGTTGTATTGGGGTATTAGGAAAGTGATTTTAGATATTTTTATCACTATTTTGATAATTTTTCTAAACATGAAGAAAAATTATAATGTTAAAAGTTATGTTACCAACAGATTCTTTAACAGATAAATTTAATATGTCAAATTATTAAATTTTGAAAGCTCTTGGTCAATAAATATTGGTTTTACAAATGATAAACAAACAGGTACTTGTTGATTTTGAGCCCAAAATGTCTTCCTAACTTCAAATATTTCAAAAGTTTAAGGGCCCATAATTCTGAAACTAATTGTTAGAATTGACAAAAGTTTGGCATTTTTACTTACATGTATATTTACTTAATATTTACAAATTTTCACTAAGATCTGAGGGATGGTGGGTTACGAGCCTACTACTAAATACGGATACATTTTACAAGAAAAAAGAATTAAATAGTTATTTCCACTTCTATTTTGAGCAGGATAAGCCCATACTTTAAGCTTTATTGACTAAACATCTGTGATAAATAAGAGGAATTGTAGTTTACCACCAAACTCAAGTACTAAACTTTAATGAACAGGTTGATGGAGAATGGTAGGTTTTAAAAAAAGTAAAGTTTTGTTTTGAAATAATAAATTCATGCTTAAAACCTCATCATCATTCTCGAAAAAAAATGGGACTTCGAAAGTATTTAAGTTCATAGTACAATGCAGTTTTTGAAAGGTAATTTCTGTCCAGTCGGTTTCTGAATAAAATATATCAGGTTTAAATTAAATAATAAGATCGAATTCACTTCGAACGAAAGCTCACGCTCATACGATAATTCTTAGAGACATGGAATGTGGTACGCTATATATGGAATACCCTTCACTTATATATTGGGTTCTAGCTCTTTTTAAAAATAGAAAATTATGTACCAACATTAACAGACACCGGTCGACCTAATTTTCCCTTACTTAAAATATCATTAGATTTTGTAATTTTAAAAAGTGCAGAAACGCTCGTTGATATGTTTTTTTTTTTTAATTTCCTCTTACGCGCTTCGGCAATTTTGAAATAAGCGTAAAATTGTAAACATTCGTTGTGATTTTTCAAAAACAACCAAGATTATTGAAACTCTTAATTTAAGACAATCTTACTTCAATTAAAAAAAAAAAAGTACATTGACTTTGTCTCGTTAGTTAGAGAGAGGCAGCGTAGGAAGTTTTTTGTTGGCTGTATTTCGTATAATTTGTTTTGTTAGTGTTTTTTCTTTAAATTTTGTACTTATATTTTCTTGATGATTATTTAGAATTCATAATATTATACAATAATTTATATAATATGCATTTGGAAGGTTAACTAAGTAAGGAAAGAAAATAAATTAATTTTTCTCTTCGCCCCTGGTTCTCCAAAACGGGTGTAATCCTGAACAGGAAAGAAAACTCCTTCCTAAAGTAAATTGCTACAATATTGATAATTAACAATGGTCGTAAAAATCGCGGCTTAAAACTTATTGAAGTTAATAAAAATGATAAATGTTCCAAATGCAACTCCATTGCTAATCCATTACATATTATACAGAAATACATTCCATATTATACCTTCAATAACCATTTTGATAATATAACAATATGGTCAGTATAGGACTGTAATGGAAATCTTGGACGAAAAAAAATTTATAAAATCTGAAGTTATTTTCAGTTATGTTTTGAGCAGGATATGAAGTTCTGGTATAACACTAGAAATACCTTACATATTATTCCTAAATACATCCAATAACCATTTTGAAGATATAACAGTATAGTCAGTATAGGACTTTAATGAAAATCTTGGGCCAAAAACCAAAATAAATAAATAAAAATCTAAAGTTATTTCCAGTTCTGTTTTGAGCAGGATATGGAGTTTAGCTTACCAAATCTTAAATATATTTCGAATATGACATGCTTTCAGATGCCTAAAAAATAAAATGAAATTAAAATGATCGTCTATAAGGTATTTTCAAATTATTTTTTTCTCTACCGAGTAACATTTCCAAATGCGCGTTCTATAAATTTTATTAATATAGGATCCTCTGAGTTTTAGGAGATGCATTTGAAGTTTTAAATTATGGATAATTGCAAATATAATCATATTCCAAATATAAACATTTCACGTTTACTTGTCGTATAGTATTAATATAGTTGTTAAAAGGAATCGATATATCAAATTAAATTTTGAGTCAAACTATAATACAAAATAGAAGTATTGTATGTTTCAACTTGGTGTGTAAGAAATGGAACTCTACTAGTGGTATTAACTCAAAAATTATGATTTTAGATTTATGACTAAATGAGCGATATGGCCAGTGTCGAATATAAATATTGTATATAATGAATAAAAATAAACATTACCGAATATAATAAAAAGTTTTATTACTTCTTCTTTGCAATTAAAACTAATTTGATTAGTTTTTCATAGGATTCAGTTGTGGATACTCACGCAGCTTGAGGCCGATGGCTACCGCTGGTAACAAGAAGAGGAAAAGTATCCTGCAGTCCCTGCTGTCCATGGTGGAGTACGGAGAAGGTATGCCTACCTAACTGCCACGACCTGCCCCCACCTGGACTTCCTTAGGGGGGAGATCATCGGGAATGTAGATAAAATACGATAATGGATGGGTGGGAGGTTGCACTTCATTTTATATCCAACATTATGCCATGCAGTAAGCAGCTTGACCATAGAAGATGCAAATGATTTTTCATGATTAATAGGACAATGAGTGTGAATTTCAATGATCACGATTTAAAAGTAAACAAATTAGAATATTGCATATCATCGGATTCGCACCGCTAACTGAAGTTTTTAGGTTCGTATACTCGAAGCTTTTCTGAATAGTCACAGTCATCAGAACTAGAGATAATATTATAATATTTATTCATAGTATTTTTCACACTTAAAAACGCGAGTTGTCAGCCGCTTAAGAATCTCGAACCCACACACCATAAGTATATATTTGCAAAATAAATCTTACATTATACAAGATGAAAAAATCTGCAGTGCCTGTAAACTGTTAGGATTAATTAATTGATGTTATTTATTATTGTATATTCTACCTACAACACTGTTACTGGAAACACTGTTAGATGTGACGTCAGTGATCACAACAATGTATACTCGATATGGCTTCTAGGTTTGTAGTGTTCTTCCACAATAAACGTTTCTGTATTTGTTTCATAAAGAAACCCTAACCATTATTAACATAAACAATATATATTTAACAGCCTACACCATCTTCTTCTCAATTGTCCATCATCCAAAATACACACAGATACCTGCAGCAATATATATCCGATTCACCTTCTTATGTTAATGTAGAGAACATCCTCAATGTAGACAGTATCGAGAAGGAGAACCATATATATTTATTTTTATTATCAGCAGCCAATATGAACTCTATTCCCGAAATGATACCATCCCATAACAATTGAATGTTTATTAACGGTGTTTATATTTTTTTTTTTATCATCAAAAATATAGTATTCATATAATTCTTATACAATACTCAGACCAGGGGTCTCCACTTAGGTGGATTCTGAGGGTCCTGTTTCCTCACCTAAGTATGTGATGAAAAAAAAAATCTATAAATGATACTTCAGCTTTGAAATGAGATTTCTAAGAGAGAAAAAAAAAGCCACAAATGTTGTAGTTATCTCTTATGTGAGTTATTTGCTAAATTTCATATTTTTTAAATTTCTAACATGAAATCAAAGACGTTCGCTGGCCGTAATTTGGAGACCACTGACCTAGATAATGAATAATTCCGTCGGTTGGGGTCTATGTTTTATTTCCTCGATTTATGGTCCATTTTATATCCAAAAAGAAATAACTGAGCAATGATATTTTTACATTGTTAATACATTACAACTTTTATTTTTCATTTCCTTATTCCTTCAAATATAATGAAACTCGAAATAACTTGAATGAATTTCTTTAAAAAAAAAAACTAATCAGAAAACAAGAATCTAAGAACAGCGGAAATATAGGGCATTTACGTGGTACTTAGTAGTATTGGTGGAGGAACTAGTTCGACAAATTTATCTTATTGTTGTCCTTATTGGCAACCTCTGACGGTTACTTTGAGGTTGAAGCCGCGCATTTAACGGAGTGGAAATGTCAAGATTCATTTTTCGGGGCTCCGAATCGATTAGGTGGGAATCGAATCAACAACATTCAGAACCTTAAGTGGTACTTAAGTGATATAATACAAAGTGGCATTGACAAAGATCGGCATGACTTAGTAACGTGAAGTTTTTGTTCTATAACTGCATGTTCATGGATATAAGTATCGAAACGAGATCCGGGATTTAATTTTGGGACAGGCTAATTTTAGGAAAATATAAATTATTTTCTTTATTACTTAATGACAGTAATTACAGAAACAATAATGTTTGTGAAAAGGCGGATTCGTAGCCTGGCCTAATGATAAAAAAAAGAGCTAATTAGATAATATATTTAATCTCTGATAAATTAAAATGTCTGAAATTGGTATATATGGTTTTAATTGAGAGGCAATAAACTATAAAATGGAGAAATTGACACTTATTCTTTCAACGCTCTCACGGAGTGAATAGGTGTTTCTTACCCGCCATGATAAAAAAACATTCCACTGTACCACGGCCACCTTAAAAAAACAGAATAAAACAAACATTACTGTTGCAATGAATCAACAATTATTCTTATATTGACCGATTGTGAGTGTATAGCATTGGTGTGTTAAATACTCGTATGAGGTTTACTATTATTTTAGTGTCTTTATTTTTTCAATTCTTCACTTAAACAAAAAAAATTGTTGGGATATAAAAAGTATAAGACAACCCCTTACGGGTCTTGCAAGATGGTTCGGTCACATCCGTCTACTTTCGGACATACTCGAGCGTTTTTGGAAATGTTGTTTCTACATTATGACCACCATTTCTTGTGCCCACAGATCATGTTATCATGATAGAAAACCATGTTAAAGGTTGTAAGGAGTAACATTGTTTGGATTCAGTTTACTTTATATTTTTTTAATTTTACTTATTTTTTTAGTCAACAAAATTTTTCTTCTTGAATAGCTATTCTTAAAAGCTGTGCTTTGAATGACTTTTTTTTTATGAATGTGAATTTTAATTTTTAATAGAAATTATAATTTTTAATATATTAGATAGATATTTTTTTTAATGTTTAGCTTTTTGATGGTTTATTGTACATAAACTACTATTTCCAACAAATGTTTTCAGCCTAGAAAAATATGTTTTCATTTCTCCAGTAGTTCATTATCAAATTACTTCATTGATTGTATTTCACCACTTTTTTTATCACCACTAATAATGAAGGACATTTAATTATTCGATATTTAATTATTAATAAACAAAATTGAAGGTACTGCAGAGAAAGGCATTTTTCAAATTCGGCATTTAAGCATTGTCAGCTTAGTTCGATGAGGATGTGGCCCAGCTGATACCAAAGACTATTTAATTGTACATTGATAAAAAGAGTTTCTGAGAAAATTATTCACAAGAGTAAAATCAATGATTAAACGTTGTTGTAACATCTCAGCCATGCAGTTTCCTTAAATATGTAATGTTCAGGGCGTACAATTTTTGATGTAAACAAAGTTGACAGACAATGTGCTTACAACCGCACTGACACAGACCATTTTTCTGGATTTCGGTATTTGGAATCTGGGGGACCTTAAAACGTGTTTTTCCATTAAAAGCTCAGATTCGGAATTTTATACGATCGCAATACTTCCACTCGCTTTATAATTTATGAATAGGTAAGTGAAGATAAAAATACAAAGAAATTCAATATAATGCCTTCATTTAGATTTAAAAACATATAATTAAATAACACTGCTGTAAGAGTTTGTTAGTACTGTCATCAAAGCTCAACGAGCAACCATAATAGTGTAGTTCTGTCTCGAGATTAAGTAAGTTTTAGTGAATAAGTTTTATGTTGTATTAACTAAACTTGTTGAAGGTAAGCAACATCGAAAGATAACTATACAAGGTCATCTACTGTTAAATGTTATGGAAAAACTAAGCAACCATACAGCTGAAGTTTACATTTAATTTACAATATTAATTGCTTCGTAAAAATTCCTGATATCCTTTGGCCATGTTGTTATCTATTGGCAGCACGGCAACAAGATTCCACAATAATGGCTTTAGGAAAAAAAAGCAGAAGTTAAGAATGTTCATTACATTAAAAAAATAAATAATAAGAGTTTTCTTAAATATATATATATATATATATATATATATATATATATATATATATATATATATATATATATATATATATATTTTTTTTTTTTTTTTTTTCCTGCGCCTGTTGCCTCGACTTTTTATGAATCTTCTTTATCAGCTGGGGGTTGTTATAGGATACATCAGTGATCGTTTGGTTCTTTCTTCTTCGAGATATCCAGACATAACGTGGTTTACTAACCGAAAGCGACCACAATTCACTCCCTCTTCATCAGCAACTTTCCTGAATGATGGTTGGCAATCTTTTGCTTTAGTCTTAAACCTATTTTTTTATTTATTTTTTTTATGGGACAGGGGATTATAAGCCCTATACCCAACACTCAATCTGGAGGACCAGAAGCTTTGGTGTAAGAAACAGAGGTCGCTCATCTCCCTATGAATCTCAGGGGGGATGTTGCCGCCTCCATGCGAGAATTGAACCCGCGCCGTAATGATCTAAGTAGTCGAGTAGGGAATGCACTTATTACTTTTAATTTATTATTAACTATTTCATTTATTTATTTTTTCTGTGTCATTAATATTTGTTTTTTAAAGGTAAATAATAAAATATATTTTAATAATAACAATTTAATTAAATCACATTTTTCATTTCTTTTATCTCTTACCTGACCATATCTGGAATACAATATAGAGGGGTATTCTACAAGAATAACTAATTCTAACAAGACCGGCATGACATGGGTCCGCCAGGACATAAATTTAAACCCGCCCTGACCAGATTCGAACCGGAACCGCTAGACTCTAGCTTCTCAGCCTCACAGGTTTCTCACTTGTCCTTGCCATCTTGTGCGTTTTTTTTTAAAATTCCTTCCTATATTCTTCTGCTCATAATTTCTTTCACACCCCCTGCCTAATGTTCCGTTAGGCGACCTATTTTAGCATATTTTTCAAAATCTTCTGAGTAAAGAATGTCTTCTTATTATGAATATATGCGTCGGCGAATAATATGATCATATACAAATTTCCGTTCTAAACCTGCAATCATGGTCCATGATTCACGAGGAAGTTGTTATTATACCAATCGCACTTTCATGTTACTAATTTGAGAGTTAAGGATTTAACATTGAAATCGTGAAGATGAATTCCATTCCATGAATTTTTAATACAATTTTTTTTCTAAGTGTGCTTTCAAATTGAATTTACCGTAATAATAAAAAAAAAACACTTGTAAATGAAACCTTAAAAGTAATTTTTTGGCCTTACTCCCCGCTCATTATGTGCAGTGCCGGCCTTAGACATTCGACGCCTCCGGGCAATGACGTCATCTTCTTCAACACTAAAAAATTTATTT